CACAGCTGAGCCTTCACGCGCGCACTGGCCGCTCCTCGTGCCTTTCCTCCCAACCCCAGAGAAGCTACCTTCTTGAAGGCAAACAGCACACAACGGTCYCCCCAGGAAACTGCTAACATTAGAAACACTTAGAAGTCAGAAAATAGAAACTGCACCGTCAAAGATGGAATATAATTCAAGAAATTGCTGATTTCACTGTTGATTCATTAATTCATTTTATGTTCTTGATTGCAATGACTTTTCATATAACAGTGTATCCATACACTGTCATAATTTTTCAAATAATTCTAATTCAGATTTAAGCTTGAATAATTCATTTAATCCTCAGTTTTAAGAAGCTGCTAAAAGTTTCACAAACAAGTTTTCCTATCCACTAAAAACTGAAGTATATCCAAGACTTAGGACTATCTCCTTGATAGGGAGAYATGTCTTTTTATTTTCAGAACAAAGTAATACACACATAAAACTGACATGAATGCAGCATTTAGGTGTACTACTCCATAAAAAATAAAAATATCCAAGAATACTTCACTAGAACCTAACAGTTGGAGGTAGTTAATCAGCAACTACTACCAAGAAATTCTTTAGGGAACTAGTTTGTCTTACATACAAGAACATTTGTAAAAAAAAAAAAAAAGAGAAGAAATTCTGTACCTTTAAATCCTTTCTTCAAAGGAATCATTGTAAGGGGAAGCCTARATTGAAACTTTAAGCTGAAACTTTAGGCTGAATAATTGAGAGCATTGCAGTTATGGGAAACTTGCTTTGTATTGGGCTCATTAAAARCATAAGGATGAAAATTACATTTTAGTTGTTAGTAATTGCATTTTGTGGACACCTGATTAGTCACGCTGGTCTTAAATGCTGACAAGACCATTAATAAATTGGGAATTAATGAATGAGGAAATCTGGAACGTGTCTGTGTAAATAAATCTTTAAAGTGATTATCATCTGTAATGTCATTTTAAGACAGTGAACATGGCATATTTGTACTAAAATAGCATTTTAAATACTGTAAATATATAGATTTTTTGAATTAAGGAAACAATTAGAAAAATACAGGTCAGTCAGTTTATTGTGTTAAAGGTAAAATAGTAACAGGTCATTACTGTATTAGCTAAGGCAAACAACTCATACATTGTAATCATACTTCAGAAAAACAATCACTCACTGAATGTTACTTCAACAATGTCAGCTTTAAAAAAAAGAAAAAGAAAAAAAAAGGGAGGAACTAGCAGGCAATGCTTTTGAAGAAAAAAATCTTCAGATTTTTTCTTAAGGCCACAACAGGACAGAAGAAAAATCATGGATAAACATCAGGAATTATGTTCTAGCCTCAGGGCTCCTATGCTCAAGAAATACAGCTACAGCATAGGGCTGCCAGAGATGAATTTACAGTCAACTACACACCCCACACAAGCTTCTGGCGTGGACATTAGCAAGGTACATTCAGGATATAACAGCTCACTGCCTCCAGCAAGATCATCCATATCACTGATTAATACATGCAAATGCATGTGATCATGTTTATCCATTATGTTCTCCCACATAAACAAATCTTTAGGTTTATAAGGTTTTTGTTTGTTTGTTTTTAAGATTAAAGTTAATCTTAAAGATTTTAATATAATATTTAATATTTTAATGCATTGATTCAGAAATAAATTATTTCATGGATATCCTAACTCAGTACTGACTGCCATCTTCAGGAGGAAAGCCCAAGATTCCTGCATATCGAATTCTACGCTAAAGGTACCAACTTCTAGCTTTTCACCAAGATTCACCCTCTATCTAATGATAAACATAARTATATTGCATGCTTTAATAGTGAAAACCATCCCAATTAACGGGTCAGATAAAGACCTATGCGTTACTGTGGCTCACTTAATCCTGAAAATAGGCTTGCACTGGACTCCATGAAAAGAAAATCCATGTGGCAAACAAGTAATTTTACATGTAGTTATAAGTGATGTTCTTCAGATCAGACATTAAAATGAAATACATGCTTCTGTTGAGTAGAAATTAAGCCTTCTGAGACACCTCAATAAAGGTTACAGATACCTCAGCAGATGCATCCCCTTATTAAAGCCTTTGCTCTAAAGGTTTGGCTGACACATCAAGAAACAAGCTCAATACTCAGAGCCATTTATATCTGTGCTGAACAGCACACATGGGGATAGACAGGAGCAAACAGCCTTGCAGAGACAGGGAAGTGGAGCAGGTATCACCTGACACAATTACATTTTCTTTGTTCTGTGTAAGTGGGAAGAACAGATGTATTCTGTAATGGTGCTGAGGCAATGAAGGAAAAAAAAATTAAAGGAAGAGAGACCAAAGAGGGAAGTTTCTGAAGAAACCAAAGATAACTAACTATGAGAGGCTGCCTTTTTCAAAAAATAAATAAATAAAAATTACAAGAAAGAAATTGCAAAAGTTGTCATCAGAGTACAAAGTAACAACAAAACATACTAGGAAAAAAGAATATAGCACTACCATTTAAGCTTTTAAGAAAGCAATTAAATAAAGAAGAAATTGGTTTTACTCTGGAGTGGTCTGAAGATCATACAAATAAGACTACAATGCTATCCWGGAAAAAAAAAAATCTCAGAACGCTGATAAGAAATCAGTAAATCAAATAGGTGTTGCCTATGCCCCTCCTTTTCGCTAACCGATACAAAACATACCTTAAAACATACCAGAAGGAATATATTCAGCAGGTCTAAATTGCATATGTAATTACAAGGGAAAGTGCTGCCTGCAGCTTCCCAAATGAAAGGTTTGCATTTATTTACATATACTCATCTTAAATATCTGTAACATCTATGAGGTAGCAGTGAACAACTTGTTCCCCTTGTATCGATGTGGAGGCATTTGTCCTTCCTCACCACCTCCCAGGTCAGATACGTTGCTCGCCTCATGCTGGACATCTGGCCTAGGAAGCTCTTCCTCCTTCATTCTCCAGCTTCTGCTTAGTATATTAATTCAACATTGCAAGGACAGAAGTAACGTAACAGCACAGGAAGAAACTTGGCATATATCTCATCACAAAATACCAAGATCAAGAAAGCATCTTATTGTGATTTTTGCAGTTAACATCTATTCACGTTCCTGGGAACATCAAATTTCTTGTGTCCATTATTCCTAGAGCATAATTTCTCCCTCAATTTCTGTCTTGTTTTCTGTAATACTATACACATGCTTTACACAAATGCACTAATAGAAAACCCACTTATTAATAAACTGCTAAATGAAATACAAGTCTTCATACTCATTGAAGCAGTATATTCTAAACTGAGCGATGAGTAGCTATCTCTACTAACAGGAAAGTGCAGCAAAGAAAGTGTTACCAGTCTAAGGAGTAGCACAGGCCTGGGCCTAAGATAGAAGACTTTGCTGTAATTTTATTATTCAATGAATTAKTCCTTCTTAATAAAAATAATCCAGGAAAAAAATGCCACTTAATAGGCATTCTAGAATGATTAGGCTTATGCAAGAAAAATACCCATGAGCGGCAAGCAATTATGCACATACATTTGTACTGTAGAAGTTAAATGTTTATTATGCTTTCAGATATCTAAAATAGTGCCCTAGTACAGAGGTAGTCAATTCCAGTAAAAGTTTGCATTTCACATTTAATCTATTCATATAATTTAATTGTGATAGTGTTATGTATTATACCAAAGTTGAATAAGTGTGTAATTATCTGAATGCAAGAATTTTTATGTAAGGGATAATTACAGTGCTACAGGCTATCCTCACAATACAGACAAGGATAGATGAACCAATTATTTTTTTTTTTTTAAACTGTTCATGCAACTCTTCCTTATTCCCGGGTAAATTTAAGATAGTACACAGACTATCATATTTATATGATTTTAGTTAGATGGCACGAAGAGTACATGTCCTGAATTCCACAGGAGTCTGAATGTTACAGTAGTTCAGTAGGAAATGAACTGMAAGTTTCTGCAGAAATGAATATTTAGTCATAAAAAAACTTTAAATTTGAAAATTCAACAAAGTACACAGATTCCAAGATGATTTGCATAGTAAGCTACCRGTGAAACATGAATGCACCTTTTCTGTTGTTCGACTTTGAACTCCTTTCTCCAAGGAATCTTCCACTATTCTTACAATATACTAAACTGAAATGTTCACTGACAATGGTCACTTCTAGGTACTTAGGTTATTTCTGTGCCAAGGACTGAAATTACTTCAAAACAAGGACACTTCGTGAGTATTTACTACTACCTAACCACTTAACTCTTTCTAACTAGGATTACTAGGTAGAACAAATAAACTAGTTAGTGAACAAATAAGTAATGAAATAATTTCCGGGAAAGACAACATTTTAAATACTTGTTGAAAACAAACAAAGATAATTCTACCTTAACATTCTCAAATTGGAGGAGGTAAGAGGGGCAGARAGAGGAGGAGGAACCTGGAATGCAAGGGAGAAAGGGAAAACTTTAGGAAATCACATCTGACTTGAGTGGGAGGTTGAACTAGATGATCTCCAGAGGTCCTTTCCAATCTCCACCATTCTGTGGCTCTCTGAAGGGCTACCACAGTTCTTTACCTCTAGCAGTCTGCCAGTAAGCAGAGATTTTAATTTATAAGYAATGATTGCCTTGATATTTTAGCTCCCTTACAGGCACTATTACCAGCTCTGCTACCTCTGGATTWAGCAACAGTCATAAAGAAAGCTGAGCTATTGAAGTTCTGCCATAACACAGTTATGGAGCGTGCATCTTTAGCACATTCACCACGCTCTCACAAATGGGCTTTAGGACACAATTTCAAGGAACAACAAGCATCATAAGGCATTTCCAGGCTTTATTTCTTTTCTTTCCCATCCCTCTCTACTGAAGACCTTTTTCGCCTGCTTCTGTTCACTGAATGGAATAGGATTGTTCCAAATATTCCTATTACACACCATTATATTTGTTAAGAAATTTCACAAAGCTTCCACTTTTGCAGCATTTCAGATTAACAGTTCTGCTTACCTGACTAGAACTGTGGAGCAAAAACCTTCAAGGCCAATTGCCTAATTCAGGATGCATGTATGAGACTGACTGCACGTATGCATTTGCAACAGGCACTAAAGAAAAGGAGTTAAAAGAAGAAAGAAAAGAAAAAATACTGCTTTATGACTAGCAATAACTGAGACAAAGATTCAGACAGTTAAGTCCAAAAACAATTTTAGCATCACCAACAATTTTAGCATTTAGTAATGGTGGAACATTATAAGACATGAAGCTATTCTACATTTCTGATCGGTTTTACCTTTTCTGGGTCATTGGTTAGCAAAGATCCCCTTTCAAGGCACACAAAGGACTAGGGTATCAAATATGCAGTCATTATTACCCTCCGTTTTATTCCTTTGCATTTTTGCAGAAGCAAATCTTAAAAACCAAGCATCAGATACCAACACTTTCCATGCATCTTCCAAGTGATACCTATAGTCATGTATTACCAAGAACCTGATTGATACATAACTCTGAAAGGAAGTACTCAGCGTGAAGGTTAAAATAAAAATAATTAAAAAAAATCATAAAAATAATGCTGCACTACTGCGGATGGGTTGTCCCCATTTATGCTACAAAAATAATGAGCATACACTAAAGAGGTAAGCAAGTCTGTATTTGTTGTTCAAATGTTAAATAAAATGTTGGACAGCTTTCCATTTTATATTAATAATAAGTTTCATTTGATAATAATAAGGTATTGCCAATAAGAAAAAAAGAACTGGGTGTCCTGAAACTGCACTATTTTACATTAATGGTTGTGTGAATCAGTGGGGCTTCCATGTTTTTTTAATCAAATTTCATTTCGCAGCAATAATTTTAATGGCTACTTTAAACCATTTCCACTCCCTTAAGGGATGTTGGGCTCTGATAAAAACACAGCCATGAATTTGTTTTCCTACACAACAGAAACATGCTTTAGCAATAGCAATTTCTTTTATTAGCACCCTGCTGCTTAGTTTATGAAAGAGGAAAAAAAAAAGGAAAAAAAATTAAGAAGAGTTCCACCAACAGATAAGGAAAATAATTACCCTTTGACACATTGTGAGGAAGAGTAAAATTAACTCTCTCCTTGCTGTCAGCAGAAGACAGATGACCAGTGTTAGTTAGACGGTAACCAGCCATTCTGCAAATAAACTGTCTTCTTCCTCCACGGTGGGCAGGGCAGGTCGCACTGCAGCACAGTCCTCATGGTGCAAAGGGCCTAGTGCACGGCAGAAGGAGGCTCCATAAAGCAAAAGCAGCTGAATGTCCTGGGAAAATTTAAGCATCCCTAGCATCCACAAGCATTTTATATTGCTGCAAACAGAAGGGAAATAGATATCACACACCTTATAGGGACACAGCTGAAAATTAAGTGCAACCTGAAGCGCTCTCCACAGAAACCGAAGCAGCTGCTGTGGGCAGTGTGGTGCTGGGGGTGTTTGTTTATGGGGAGAGAATGCAGACCCACTCAGCTCAACGGTATTACGGAAGGGGAATCCCAGGGCAGAGCCGTTAAGGTGACAGGCGGGCTAACCTGTCCCAGGTGCGGCCTAGGGAAGCTTCCAGAAGGGGCCGGGCGGGGCCGCCATTTCCCGCCTCCTGCCGGCCTCCTCACGCAAGTGCCAGGATGCAGTGAGAGTGTCTGCAGCACACCTGGATCTGCTCTCTGCTTGCTCCATTTTATTTTCCAATTAATTACCACAGAATGTGTTGCTGCTTTGTCACTTCTTTTTCTTTCTGTGCGGATTGAAGCCTTTTGGAGTGCTCCTGTGCATGCACACCCGTTTACCTGCCCCATCAGGAACCACATCCTTGGTTTACCTCAAATTTACCTAAAACGGTGGCAGTGGCRCGGGCATGGCACCCTCTCAGTGCCTCTGTTTAGTGCCCGTGCCAGAGGGGGCTCCTCTGAACTGTTTCACGTGTGATTTTAGAACATTTTGGATGTGTCTCCAAGAGCAAGTGGGCCGATRAGGAAAACTGTTTATGCACCCCGTGCACGCCAAAGAAACCTTCCAGCACACCAGGCTGTCCAGCTCCAGTGGTTTTAGGTCATCCAGGCAGGCTTTGAGCAGCATAGCTTGTTTTAGTTCACCCTCAGTGTAAAATCTAATGCCTTAATCTCAAAGCTTCTTAAGGTAAGTCACTGGTGCTCCATAACTGGGGCAAGGTGACAGTAAGTGAATAATCTTGATGGTTTGGTTGGGATCATTGGTCGTATATTAAGCTTGCATAACTTGACTGACCCTGCTGGATTTTCTGCAGTTTTGAAGAACATTTACAAAGATCCCAGAGCACTCGACCCAGCAAGCAGGTGTGCAGGGGTGGTGTGATTCAAAATAATGCTCAGACTGCACTTCAATTTTGAATAATTTAAATAAGATAATTTTTGAAGAGCAATAAGGAAACATGACAGCAGCTTCAGAATGAAGATAAAGGTTTTGTTTACATAATGTTTTAAAAATAAATTTTAAATATAAGTTTTAAAACATGAAGTATTTTATTTAAAAAATGAAGAAATGGGTGAAATTGGAATGTGACTCTTCAAATCGGATACTCTTAACACTGAATGCTAGTTTATGCAGTGTTTGCTTAACTAACTTAAATAATGTTTCTTTTAGTACTTAGTTTATTATCAGTCTCCTGCACATTTAATGATTGATTCACACTTAGAAGTCTTYATGATCCTATAAACTTTCTTAGAAATAGTTTACAGATGTTCTTACCTGAAGAAACTGTAATTGTTCTCATTTCAGTCTGAACCTGTAACAGTCTGTGTRGGCCTGAAGGCATCTTTTCCCTGTCTGTATTTTACCCACCATATTCTGCATTTGTGATTTTTCCAGATACAGCAACACTCAATTTTATTTATCACAGAAATAGTTCAATTTACAACTATCACCAGCCAGAGATTTTTCTCCGACCAAAGCCTTCCTCAGCACCTGCTAGATTTCCCAGAATAATAAGAATAGTACATTAGGTACAATAGGTGCGTTTGATAAATGTTTGTTTCCAGTAATCAATTTCAGTATTAGCTAAGGTGAAACTTTAATTGCTTTGTAGAATTTTTTCACTCAAAAAAATTCTTTATATTTAAATAAATTCAAGCTATTCTTCTTTATATAGTCTTTTAATGTCCACAGTGATGTTTCATGAGGATTTATTAAAAAAAAAATAAATAAAAAGAGAGAGAGAGGAGTTTAAAACACTGGAAATTATTCCATCTAGTTCACGCTGAACATGGAAATAGAAACCTCGCATAAATGTTTTTATGTTTCAGTCAGTATCCTTTAGAATTAAAAAATGATTTTTTGGAAGCAGAAATAAAGTTATCATTAAATTCTTATGGAAAGATTTAGATATAGCAATTGTGTTTTCTAGTTTTTCCTTTTATGTTGTATAAGTGTTTGTAATATGCCTTAAAATAAGCATGCTTGAGAATACATCCATGAAAAGTAGGGTATCTAAACAACTGATTGAATTTCAAGGTGTGTTTAAAATTCAGGTTTGAGGTGAAAATGTCCTCTCAGAGCCACTGTTACCCTAAACTGAGAGATCATTTGATTTAATAGCAGGCACAAGTAACTGTTTCATAACTGTAAAACTTTCATGATACCTAGGGTATCATTTTTCCTTGTTTAGGTCATGGGCATGGGAAACACAGCTGGAAATATCATTGTGCAAGTATGAGAAGCTTTTACCTAGTTGTTTAAACAATTTGATCTTACTGTGTGCCGATGAAACTGTGAGATATGTTCTTTTTGCATTCTTAATTCGTATAGAACAGATGGCGAGTCTAGTTTAAAGCAACAAGCCTATTTAAARAATTGGTGATTCTGCACTGTTAAAGAAGTTTACTCTTTTGTGTGTGTGGGAAGAAAATGAGATTTTTTTTTTGTTGTTTATATGTTGTTATCATAGCATTCCAGATAATTTTACTGTCTTTTCAGTGACCTAAAATGCTAAGTGAAAGCTTCTTATTCGTTTTGAACAATCCTCAAAGAAAAAGCTACCTGGTCAAGAGTATGATTATTCATCTAAYGGAAAGGGAAGGATCTCATGACATTTGTCATATAGAATACCGTGAGCAGCTTGTGAGCACAAGTTGAACAGACTTAAGTTTCAGTAGCTCTTGGCAGAGCACTCGCAAGGTGCAGTGATCTACATCTGCCCTTCAGGTTAGACTCTTTTCTCGAGTATATGTGAGCATTTGCTTATGGCCATCTTCTCATGTGTATTCTCTAATCTTTTCYGGTATAAATGTAATTCTTATTATTTTCCTACCATGGCATTCAGTCACCCTACAGTTTATAGGTATGACTTTGTTAAGTAGAGATTTTGGCCATTCTTTTTGTTGTTGTTGTTGTTTATTGCTGGACAAAATAGAACCATCCTGGAATCTGAAATGGTCAACAAACTGAAAGTGAGTTTGCCCAGGCGAGCCTGCTGACTTAGAGCTAAGTGTGCTATGGCTACATTCTGATGCTTTGTTGCGGAGTATTTGTTATGAAATGACATCTGAAGTCATCAATACCTCAACAAATTATAACTGAGAATACATGTTGCTTTTGAATTCAGGGAATGAAGTGGAATTTATTCATTCAGAAGTACTCAATGCCGTTTACATTGACAGCTAAAAATAATGAATAATATATTTATATCATCCATTAATAACCATCCATCCATTTAAAAGTTTCATCCYAATGCATTCTGGAAATCTGCAAATTAATTATGCAAAACTTTGAATGGATGTAAAATTGAAATGCTTAAGAATTTAAATGATGCAATTAAAAGCCACTGCATGTAACTCCAAGTTATTTTCTTCTAATAGCTAATCATCTATCTTAATTTCTATATCACTATTTAGAAATGAATCAGCTTTTGTATCTTCAAAATATTGGAAGTTTCAGCAATGGCTGAACAATTTATATTTGTAAGGAAAATTTAGCATTTAATCAAGATTCTAATCAAGGTAATRTTGTGGGCAGATGTTATTGAAGTTTGTGTATTTATCATATTTGCATCCATTTATTGAAAATAATATGGCTCTATTAAAATTCAGCTTTTATTCTGAGCAAAATAGTGAGTTTAGCAGCTTTTAAAGTGTTAAGAGGTATGTTCTTGGTAATTAAAAAGGGAATGTTTTCTCTTTCTTATCCACCTTAGTGAACAACATGCTGAAACATAAGAGAAAATGAAGCCTTCCTCTAATGTATGGATATTGAACGAATGCTATAAAATGGCGTTGGACTYCACTGGAAAGGTAATCAATGTCCCAATTTCAATCACAGAAGTGAAAGGAAAAGATTCTGCAATCTCATCACACATACAGGAATAAATATTTAGCTTCCTTCTTCTTATCCCTTGACACCAAGACTTTTTGAGTACAAGATGTTAGCCTTTACATTAGTTTATTGATCTTTTMATATAAGGTCTAACTTGCTTCAGGGGCACCATAAATACAATATTGCAAAACCCCCTGCAATATCAATATTCATTTATTTTTATTGATCAGTTGTCACTTCTAAATTCTGGGCGCTGAATTAATGTATGCTAAATAACTACTTGGATTAATTAAGTTAAAATTGGCTCTACAATTTACACATAGTASAGAAATGTTTTCTATTACAAAAGTAATTATTTTTTTTCTTATAATACACAATTACATATTTAATTTGAGTTATCCTTGGAACCTTACCAGAAGATATAGAATAACAAAACAGAAACTATTTGTAAACTTTCGTTATTTATAATAGCATAGCATAATTTCATCCCTACTTAGTCTATTACTAAGCATTGGAATTAGTCAGTAGATGAATTTGACCATTTGAGCATATTCTAGAAGGTCAAGTTTTAGGCAGGTTTGAGATGTTGCTTTTCTGGGTGGCTATTTTGGCACACAAAAATGTGCAGCCATTTCCATTTTTGGTCCGTTACTCACATACATATGCAGCTAGATAAACTGCAATGCAAGGTAGGTGAAAGTACCCCTACATATCTCCTGAAATAGGGTCAAAGTGGTAAAAGATTCTTCCTTATTTCTCTTTACCTCTTTGTGTTTGTCCTTGTTTCATCTCATGCCAATTAATTTTCATTTAAAATTCCATCTCAGTGTCGTTCATATAGCATCCAATAAGACAAAGTCAGTAAAGGGAAGCCAGAATAGTCAGAATAAATTATCTGTAGTCAGATAAAGTTAATACAGTATTACTTCTTACTGTTTAATATTTAGTTAAAGAGTTCTCAACAAAGTCCTAGAGCTGAGGATGCACTTGAATGTAGATCAAATTTTTAGATGTTTTCTCATTTAGTAATAGAGTGAGACACCCCCAGATCCAAATATAACCTATTTCCTACTGTAAATGAACTATTTTTTGAACTAGGTCCTGTTTCACATTTCTTTCCATCCTTCATTTCTTTGCTGTTTTGGCAAATGCAAAGTGGATATTTCTGAGTTCTCCTCCAAACCCTTCTGCTCATGGTCTGTMGTCAAAAGTGAATAACTCAGCTGTAATATCAATTCAGGAAGCAAGAGAAATATGCAGAAAGATTCCACAAGATGCAAAGTCCTAGTGAGAAGAGATCATCTGTTGGTCTTCAGAGGTGGCCGGGGACCCAAACTCTGATACTGGATGAGTGGCTAGGAATCTATCAAGAGGAAGCCTAACATGTGATAACAGAGGTTTTAAAAACAAGCAGATAARAGAGAACTCTGTGACTAGATAAAAATTTTAACCATGTTGTTAGAGCTCTKTTAAAAACACATTATGTGATGGCCCACCTTGCTGCCTAATCTTAACTATTTGATTAGTATTGAAATAGTAATATAGTTTGTATGACCAATTTCTATTAACAAAATGTGGATTCCTGAGTTGTCATAAAATGCACAACGATTTTTATTTCTTMATGGTCAAAACCATACATTATTCTTCAGAGTACTGCCCTTTGCAGTGTGGAACTGCTACTATTGATTATCCAGTAATTTCAGTTAGAGATCAAAGAAACCATTTATGGCCTTTGATTCGAGGCTGGCAGGCCCAGTGCAAGCTTAAGCAACTGGAGAACTATTTTGGCTAGTGCTAAGGAACCACTCATCTTTGTGTCAGTGCCAAACTTGCAAAGCCACCCTTGATGATCTATAATACCTTTCACTGAATATGGTCGTAGCATTCCTGCAGTGCCAGGTCGACTGAGCAGTAATCCCATTGCTGAGAACTTGTTCAGGATGATGTTCATTGAAAACTGAGACAAAATCAGAGATGAAGGTAGACTTGGATTTCTTTCTAAAGCATGAACAGTATTTGTTCAAGATAGCTTTGCTAATAATTTAAAATTTGAGTATCTTTGTTTGAAAGAGAGGTTCTTACAAGTGTTCAGCTTCACTGCAGTTTTAAGTTCTCACTATTTTCTTCATTGAGAAATAGCCATCATTGTTACCGAAGTCTTTCCAAGTGTAATGTGAACTCAGACTGTGAGCAGTTTAAAATCTGTGCTCTGCAGCAGTGCCCACACAGCAAACTCTTACCAGTGAAGAACACATTGCTCAAGATAAGGCTCAACTAACTTCTTGTGAMAAAATTAGTAAATGTTGATTATTAGAAATAGTTTAAAGAAGAAAAACTAGCTTGTAGTTTACCCTTAGCCTTTGAATTTTTTTTGTTTCTTCTCACAGAAAACACAAATTGACTTGAATAGAAACCTTAGATGAAACAGYCTGGGCTTTAAGTTGGAGAGTCATATATATTCAAAGTGCTAAAAGCTCAGTAAAACTTAGGCCAGCTGGAAAAGTCTTTAATTCATAATAATCTCCTTGTTTTCAGAGTATAGCTACAAATATGTTTCTATTTTATGGCTCTGTCTTGTGTGTAACTTATCTCCATGATATGCTTAGATTCTTCCCTTGCCTTTCCTCTGCCCTCACCAGCACATGACATGGAGATTAAATGATAATAAAATGGCTGAAACTCAAGGATGTTTTAGTCCATGTAAAATTGACCAACAAAAAACCTTAATCAGCTGGTTTCTGTGAGGCATGTATAAAAGGAAATTTTAAAAGGGTAAGGCAAGCAATTAGGTCAAACTACATTCATTTTCATGTGACTGATATTCTATCTTAAATATGCATGCATAAAGCTGCAATTTACACTTCACTATTTATATAAATGCTATTAACTGAAGAAGCAAAATACATCTACTGTTTTGAACATACTGTTTGTACTGAATTTTAAGACTGTCTCACATTCTGTATGAATGCATTTTTACAGTTACTAAATATTGTCATTCGAATGTAAAAGAAAAGAAGCTGTGCTTACTCGATGATAGGGTGCAGCTCCCATGCCTTAAGAATTTCCAGAAATAGTGATCATATGTTTGAGTGTAAGATTTAATCACTTAAATGGATGAGTTTTATTCAGTATAATACATTGAAACATTCAGTTTCAAAATTGTTAATAGAACCTTCTGTCACAACCATGACCATTTATCTGTATATTTACTTCATGGGGAAAGAATAGAACTAACAAGCAGAATAAATTTCCCAAGCTTATTCTCAGTCCCCTCAGACAGTCCTGCTAGATTTTGTGATGAGCTAATTAATGATGGTATATATGAAATTATCTTTCCTAAATATTGAATGTCTGATATACAAATACCTGACATTGTATTACAATGAAGTAACAATGTAGGTTTCTATCATCTAAGCATGCTCTGACCTTAACAGTAAAATTTTCAATAGAATAGGTTTCTGGAAAATGGTTAAAAAAAAATCCAAGACAGCATATAAAATACCTGGTGGAGTCAAACTCTCATTTTTATGCAYTGTTAAATTGTAAGATGCAAGAGCAATGACCTACTAAAAGTTTTGTTCAGCAAAAAAACTAAAAATAGGACTGCTTGCACAATTGGAAATTGATGTCAAGGTCCTCAACTTTCCTCTGATAACTAGTGATATACAGATAAGACCAAACAAGTTGTCAGTGTTACATACCACTCCATGAAACTGCTCTTGTGGGTTGTTGCATATGAATAAAAGTGTCACAAATAGCAGTGTCACAAAATAAAAATCCTTAAGATGGATTTGAAGTGAAACCTACTGTGGAAAATGCTGTCATACACCCCCTAATTCTAGAAGTGAGGACAAATCAAAAAAGAAAAAAAGAAAAAGACACGGCTGCTAAGTCCCAAGACAGAACAAAGCTAGAGGCGAGATGCTTTGGTTGAGCAATAGTGATGCTTAGGCCTAAGTGACATTGAATATCTGAACGTTTCATGGACCTGTAAGGCTGTAAGTAGGAAGGAAGGAGGTCCCTAAGGCTATGTCTGTGATTTAATCTACCTTAGCATAACTCAGATCCTGGATCTATCCTGACTTTGTGATGGCATGAAATCTCAGCTTCTCATTCTTTCCTCTCTGAACCAGGAAAAGGAAATTTAACTACCTGAGAACTAGGAAAATGGTGTGTTTTGGACAGCTCCCACCTTAACAAGGACCCAAATAAAATCTGAACATGTGTACTAAATGGAACAGAAACTGGAAACCTTGGGAAAACTTAAGAAACATCTTATTTTGCTAGCAGCACCTCTTCTTGCTCTGATCAGTTGCAACCAGCTGCKCTTCCAGGAGGTGATTTTCCATGGCTGGTCGAATATCTATAAAGAGGGACAGGCCTTGGGTCAGCGAGTGTTAGGATATGTGATCAAATGCCATGGTTAATGCGGGCGGTTAATTGTGTACTATCTTGTAGTCTCTCTCAGAAATAAGCCAATCAAGGTAGGTCATTTCCTACCAGAAATGAATTTGGTCTTTTGACTTCTCAAATATCTTAGAAATATATATGGCTGTGACATCTAATATTAGATTACATCAGCCTTGCTTAGTACATTGTATGATATATTGTAATGTGACTGATACAGTCTGCTCTACAAAGCTCTTGATGACTTATTAGTAGAAAAGGTCATTTTTTGATACTAATGTCAAAGTCTTTTTTTTCCTTACAATAATACATTTTTAAAGATTTATCAAGATTTGAATGACTTATACAATGACTTATTGTAAGATTTAGGTCATGTGTTTGTGAGCCTTAAAAATTAATTAGAAGTAATTAATAAAGGTAAGGAAAAGTACTTGATAGATTCTCTGGTATAAGAGCATGTTCTGCTTCTGCCTGCACCCGTGTTCAGAGGGGCTTGTGGGAGTCACTCGGGYACCGGGTGGAACAAGCGGGAGCTGTTGCAGGAGCCTCGCAAAGTGCTGCTCTCAGCAGCTTCTCCCTCCCAGCGCCTGCCCCATACCCGAAACGGGAACACATCCTGCTCTTCTTCCAGCAGACCTTGGTCAGCTGGGCTCTGTGGAGAACCAGGTGCTCTGATGCTTGCATGGAGCTGCACATCCCTTTCAGCTGTGTTTTGTTCCTAAATTGGGACGTTCCTCTTGGCTTGTTTTAATGAGAAAACACCCTGTTCCGTCCAATGAATACATACGTCCAAAATAAAATGTAGATAAGAAACAAAACAAGATTAAGTAATCTAGATTTAATCTCTTAAAGGGTGTTTCTCCTTGAATTTATCATGGATATAGGACTGGCAGAATTTAGATCCTTTTTATCTTGGGATCTGTCACTGGCCTACTGACTAGCATGAGCAGATTATTTCATTATTCTATGCCATAGTTACCTAATTTACAATAAGATACTTCCATTGCRAAATGCTTTGGGGTCTATGGATGAACAACTTTCTGTGAAACATTTTTGTTACTGTCAGGAACTCTAGTTAATGAAAACCCCAATCAGATCAACCGTCTTTAGGAATTTTTCTTTTTACATGTTTAAGTCAGGTAGTTGGCTGTAGGTCTGTAAACAATACAATATGTATTGACGTGTCTCAGAAGCCACTGCTGTTGCCAGTCCATGTAGTAGCATTTCTCCTCCTTCCCGTTCCCAAGAAATTCAGTTTTAGTGGATCAGCATTTTCCCAAATATCCTTTTAATGACAGCTTTGTAAGAAGGGCTCTTTTTGTAAGAGAGACCTGCTGTGCAAAGTTCCCATGTTTATTTTTGCTGKCTGGCTGAAGATAAGATCACGGTAAGCTCAGAAAGTTTCATGTAAATGAAATAATTAAACCAAAAAACACATCTTCAGAAGTATGACAGAACGAAATACCACCCTTGGCAATTTTGTATTCCTGTCTTGCAAATTGTAATAGTTGTCATTAAAACATGATTATAAATCCATGAAAATATGCATGGCTTCCAGATTTATGCAACTTGAGCATACTGTGGTTTGATATAAAATGCATCAAGCAGTATAGAAATTAACACATGAAAGCAAATAAATTCTGTTACTAGCGCCGTCASAAATTGGAAGTGCCATCACAAACAGTGGCTTAGAGACAGAAAATAGTGGCTCCATTTTCTTRCTGTTGCTGGTGTAAAGGCGAGCGGGCAGGAGGAGGGGTTCTGYTGTGTGCACTCTAAATGGGCAAAAATAATCAACTGGTTTTAGAACGTTAAAAAACAGGTAGAAGTATCTGCATTAACTGAGAATGTTATTTGCCTTGACTATTTAACCAACTGAAAACTTTAGATGGTTATCTGTCATTTTTAAACCATGAATCAAAGGTTTAAAATAGCAATTATACATTTATGCAGCTAGGTAGACCTGAGGCTCCATGAAAGCTTCCTTTTCATGATGCCATTAATTTCTTACAAGTAATATGAAATGACCTAAGATGCACTGAAAGGAAGGCCAGCTAACTTTGGTTCTTTTTATAAATTTGTCCTTGCTTTGGGCCAAATTTCACTTTCCAGTTCACTAGAAATAAGGTTACATCAGACTAGATGCCTGTGCTGTTTAAAAAAACCAAAATATGACTGACTGCAAGTATGCCTTCTATCCTACTAGTCCGTATCAGGACTAGTAATTTTTGAAATTAAAAGCATTTTTCTGTTTACATTTAAAAGAGCAACTTCACTCTGTCACTAACAGCTGGCAACATCAGCTTTGTTCATAAGTCTTTTTCCTCTTTATGTTTAGATTATTAATTTCTATCCTGTATTTATCTCCCATTAACATTAACCTCTTTAAGTTTTGTTACAGCTGGGCTCACTTAAATTCAGCTTGGTCCTCCGTGTACAATTTATCACTTTGAAAAAGCACTGGTTCTTAAGCACATACTTAAATTCAAACATGTTAGTAACATTTGAAGATCAAGCAATTAGAGGAACGCATGAGTCTTTGGGAAATTCATTTGCCTTAAATTAAGCATATTCTTGAATGCTGCCTAAATTACAGAAATTAAAAAGTCAGGTTTTGATGTACAGCATAGAGCTTTAGTTAATATTTCATGTAATTGAAGTTCGTAAGTGTTGCAGAGGAGTCTAAACCAGGAGACTTCATTTGGTTCATAAAGTTTAAGGCTGACAGGGGTCCTTGTGTCTCCTGCTTTTACTACCTACACAGCAAAAACTCAGTTAAGTTAGTTGTCCATGAAGGCTGATACCATTAGGTTTATATGGAATTAGTGAAAGACATCCAAGCTTGACGCAAAGACATCAAAGATGGAGAATTTACCATTGTTCTTGATCCTGTTTTTTTCATCACACTTGCACRGTATCCCTTAATTTCTATTTTAATCTTCTGGCTTCATCCTTTGATTCTTCTTATGCATCTCCAATTCTAGAGCTTTAGTATTTTCTTTTCCTCAAAGTACATTGTAATAAAGTTGCTTCTGAGTATGCTTCTAGATCAAGTAAATAAGTATAAAAATCTAAATCACTAATTTTTTTAAAAAAACTCTTGCAGAATATTCTGCATCATGTCTTCTAATTTTTGCTAATATATGGCTGCCTCACCTCTATGTAGTTTTGTATAGCAGTCACATCGATGCCAAAAAAGTGTAAAATCACCTTCTTACTGCCATTCATTTATTTTCTACCTACTTGTAAATTTTCATTTTTTAATGCCAGATTTTGAGAATATCATAGTTAGAACTTGTTCACTCGGAACATCRAAGTCACTGTATCTCAACATGCAGTCTCTTATTCAGTAGTGATATCCGGAATTTATTTATTAATTTCCCCTAAAACTGTAACTGTAACTTAAGAATTTCATTATGCAACCTGTGTTTACTCGCCCTCTAAAATGCTCAGATTTTACGTCCTCTCCACCCGCCCCCATGCCTCCTCCTTCAGAGTGTGCTTTTCTTTTTTTTCTCTTTTCTCATTACTGGTTGATATTCCCCAATTTTGGACAATCAGATCAGCAAAGTAGTATTTATAAACACTAAAAATCTGAATTTATGTTGGTGGCTATCTTGCATTTTCAGGATAGCCATGATGATTGAGACAGCTTATATTTTGCAGTCTCCTGATTGTCTTCTTTAGGTTATCAGATCCTTTCCCCTTCTTGATGAAGACAAAATATGTTAAAAATTATCATTCATAAATCTAAAAAATTCTACTTTTATTCAAGTATAATAGCCTAATAATGATATTTAAAAAATCTACATTAATGAGGTTTGAACATATGCAGATCCTGAGCTTAAGACTTTGGTAGAAGTAGTAACTTTTCATTCATAATGCAAAGAGTATGTGTCAAGAGTAATTCATTCTCTCTTTTTATTTTGATTCAGTAATTTAGGAGAATAAGATCTAATGAAAAGCAGTTAAAAGTGCCATTCTTCTGATGTTTTTGGATTCTCAGCTTTCTCCTCTTTAYGTACTGTATTGGGGTGCTTTGTTGAATGTGCTGCTGAAACATTATTTAGCAAAAACTCTGCTGCTGTAATTCTTGCTCTACTGTTGAGAATGACTGCTAATAATGTATTTTTCTTTGATGACTAAACAAAACTTGAAATCTAATTGAAAAAAATAAAAGAAGGAATTTTCAGCCAAAAAGGAGAAAAGTCATGCTGACACATGCATTAAAACAGTACAGCTCTGAATGGTGGCCTCAGGCAGATAATTACATGTAGAGTGATGGGAATAGACTGCTGAAAACACTTATCAAAAATTGATGAGTTTCTAAAATACATTATAAAACATCAGCTGCTTTGGTAGCTTTTAGAATACAGGAAGCTTTGAAATATCGACACAAATATGCTTAGAATGGCTCTAAAGGACCTGAAACAAACAAACAAACAAACAAACAAACAAAAAAAAAAAAAAAAAAAAAAGGAGGGGAGGCTATAAAACTGGAAATGCAGCATTGGAAGCAAATTACGTTGCTGAGAAGTTTTAACTGAGCTAGCTCTTATTAAACTAAACTCCTGGAAAATGCACTAATGTGTAAAAAATGAACAAAAGTGTAACAGAAGCTACTGTTTGCAGCATTGCACTTTTTTTCTAGTTTAAGTAAAGGACAGTTTCAACAGCCGCAATAGGCCTTTTATAAACATTACTAGCTCTGAAGTGCTTGCTAAATGATAGCAGCACGGATCTTGGGCTCTTGCAGTGATTTGGGAAAGGAGAACAAGATACCAAGGGTGTGTGAAGAAGGTGAAAGTAGTTTACAAAGAGGGGTGTTGTTTATATAGGAACCTCAGAATGGGAATGTCAGGAAAAACAGTTTAAGAAAAGCAAATTTTTGACAGACCTCTCTTAAATGTTGTTGCTTTTTTTGGTTGAGGGGGCCATGGG